CATAATTCCACGGTTCCTATTGTTTGGGTAACTGTAGCTGCAGCCTATGTCCACTGTTGATCCTTTTAATGCGCAGATGTGAGTGGAAGTGTAAGTCACTGACCAACCAGTCTGACCCAGTACCGCTGTAACACAGAGCACATCAGACACTACAGACACAATCACAGTGACATTAATAAAAAAAAAAGACTTTTCACATCAAATTACATTATAAAACCCCCACTAATAACAGTACTTTTCTGCAATTATAAGTCTCATTCATTTTATCAGACAGTTTGACCATGCTATTAGGTAAATCAAGTTTTTTAATTTAATATTTAATTTTTTTATAAGAATCTGCAAGATTTAATGTAAATGCAAAGCTAAAATGGAATTCAATTTTAATTTCAATTTTATTTATGCAAAGCCAAATCTCAACAGCAGTTGCCTGCAAAACAACTGCATTTTAATTTACCATTGTCTGTATTTTCATGCAGAAAAAGATTTTTATGTGATGGTAAATTTCCTTTATTTTATTTTACTATTTTTGGTATCCAAGTGGCAGTTATTGGTTGTTGTTTTTTGTTGTTGTTGTTTTTACAAACTTTTTATAGTGTATTTTTTGGTCTCTAAGGGCTGATTTGCTAGTAACCAACACAGAATAGAAAGTTATGAAAATGCAGTGATGAGGTTTGGTTCCTTTTTTTCCTTTTCCTTTTTTTTTTCTTTTTCTCGTGCAGAGTCAGTTTCCTTCGGATAAACTAGACCCAGACTCAGATGTTGTGCTGCACATTTCAAACAGTCCTATCCATGTCTATCCTTCTTAAAAGACTGAAAGTTGCTGAATATGTCAACAGTGTTTTACCAAATCTTATTACCAAAACAATAATATAACTCAATAAAGAATGCATGGTAATGGGAAGTGATGCATTTGTAATTTTTTAAATGTAACTCTTTTAGTTTCATCTGAAAAGGCCCTTCATTGTAGAGGTTAGGTATTCAGTACCTGGCACAGTGAGAAGCAGGACAATAAATCCACTCAATGCTGCTGCAGTTACACTCATGGCTGCTCCTCTCATCTCTCCGTGTGATTTCAAAGAAAATTACATCAGTAAAGAATTGAGTTAGTGCATTTCACTGTGCAATAAAATAAGAATATAAACAAAGTCTTCTTACCATAGAGAAAGATGTTGTCTTCTAATGATAATGTTCTCATATGATCAGTTCAGTAAGCAGAAGGCAGAACTGTAGCTATTAGACCAAGCACACTTCCTTCCTCTTCGAGTTATTATTAGGCATGAAGTCAGTACATCTGGGACTGCTGTGGTTTTCCAATCCATATACAGCACTCTTAATATTTCCTATAAAGTCTTGAGGGAATAATTTGTGGTGTTCTAATGCCAAACCACAGCTCACCAAGGCCACTTTTAGAGAGAAAGAGAAATTCTCAGTTTTACAACTTTTATTTATCACAAGGAAAGGCATTTTCAAAGTACCTTATATTGCATAGACTGACAGTGGGGCCCATGTAGGATCCATACCGATTTTGTCTTTATGGGCCTACAAAAGGTTATCCTGTGGGCAACATATATGGGCTCCACCACAGAGAACCCATTATACTAAAGGGATCCCCAAAAAACAACTGCTCCACTCCCTTTGTGGGAGTTGGGGAATGTTATAAATGTGGACTGTATACTATACTACTACTGTAGACTGTTCACATATTTATAATACAGAAACGCCATAGACATCTTATTATTATATTTCAAGAGAAGATGTGAAAGTTTTCAGGCCAGATTCCATTTTCTATGACAGACTGAGCTTTTTGAGGATTTTAGGATTTTATGGTGTTTTTTTTAATTGTTTTTTATATTTTTTATTGATCCATAGTAGTTTACAGATTTGGTAATAAGTAAATAATTCTTTAGTCTGGAAGAACACACGTATTCCTTGGGTGTTTCAGGAAAGCCATAATTAAAATCCACTAAATTAAATGAGTGATGAAACCTGAAAATGGGTGTAGTTGAAAATAACTACTCGACTAACAAAGCAGCATTACCTGACGAAGACCCCACTCAACCCATAGCTGGGTAGCTATGGGATTATTCACCTGATACTGATGTAAGCTTTATGAAAAAAGGAAAATCTGAAGCATAATTTCAAACATGGTTCCTGAGAGGAGTCTAACAAATTATGATCCTTTCTGCCATTCCACTTCAAGAAGCTGAATTTTGCTGCTCTCTAGTGTTTCAGCATGAGAGCCAGATATATTCTTTTGACAGCTCAAAAATTGCCTTCATGATCAAACTGCTGCAGCGAAGCATTTTAAGGTGAGGTGAAGCAGTATTAAATTCTAACCTGACTCTGTTTTTCTAAGAATTCATTAATAAACTCAGAGTGTTTGACAAAGGCTCAAATCTGTACACAGCAGCTCAAAGTAAAACGGAGAGAGGCAGGCTTTTCTGTAGACTTTTGGATATAGCTGATGCATGTTGGCTAAAGCAACACAAACACATTATTTTTCAGTCTGAAATGAAGTAATATAACTAATACTGGGAAACTCAAGAAGTTTCTTTTCTATGGATTTCAGAGTTTAATTTCCAACTGTCTGCCAGTTTTTTAAACCCAGATTTCACCTTTAACAGAGACATCAATCAATAATCAATCAATCAATATTTAATTTGTATAGCACATTTAAAAAGGACAAAGTGCTTCACACAAGGTAGCAAAGCAGATTACAACAAAGGCAACAAAAACAGTTAAAAACAATTAAAAACAGTTATAGTTACAGTTACATAGCACAACTGCAGACCAGGTGGAAGTCTAATTTGCTTCAAAAGGTGAGTTTTTAAGTGTGATTTAAACAATTGAATGGAATCTGACATGCGAACATCGATAGGTAGATTGTTCCAGAGTTTGGGTGCTGCAATTGCAAAAGCTTGGTCCCCTCTGGTCTTTCGTCAGGCCCTTTGTTGCACTAAGAGCAGTTGGTTAGAGGATCTGAGTGCTCTCTTGGGGTTATACACGCCAAGAAGGTCTGTTAGGTAACTGGGCACCAGGTTATTTAAAAATTTAAAAGTATACAGAAGGATTTTAAAAACGATACGGTATTTAACAGGGAGCCAGTGTAGATTGGCTACAACTGGGGTGATGTGATCATGCCTTCTGGTGCCAGTTAAGAGGTGTGTTGCGGCATTTTGAACTAATTGCAAACGCTGGAGGAGACAGAATTGGAGGCCCATGTACAGAGAATTGCAATATATCTTAGAATCTTACAAACCAAATCATGAAATAAGGAGGGGTGAGGCAGGGACAGAGGCTTTATTCTTTGCTGCCAAAAACAAAACAAAAATAATGTTAGTAAATACATTTAGAGGGACCTATAAGTATATATTTGATTAAGTGGCTCCTTATTGCTAATAATTGTGAAGTTAGTGATGTATTAATACATCACAGAAAGTATTTTACATACGGGTAAAAGAAAAAAAATTACAATTATTTTTGGTGTTGAATAATTACAGTAAAAACCAAAATAATCCAGAGCACGGGGAAACAAAAGAAACAAGAAAATATTATCAATTATGTCATTAGCACATCTGGATCAAGAGTCATCACAATTAATAAATTACTGTAACATGTATATGTTTCATTAATATCTGACCAATAACTCAGGAAGAGTAGCGATTCTTGTGACAATGGAAAAGTGCCCATAAAATGATAGAAATGACCTTAAACACAATGCTGCTCAATTTCATACAGGTTAGTTATGACATCTGTGTGAAGAAGTTGGAGAGAGAACTCAAAAAGGTCAGTCAAATTTAAAATTGTCTTTGATGTAACTGTATTCAGGAGTGCTGGATGCATACTTAGGACTTCATAAAGATTTAAAAACATTACCGTGGATAAAAAGTCTGCTAGAGAGATGGTTTTCCATGTCTGGGAAGTCTGTTGACTGTGCTGTACAGAGCAGCTGGATCCTCTGCATCTTCTGGAGTTGTGGTCTGGATTCTGCTGAACAGATATCACAAAAAGCTCAAAACAGACTGAATTAAGTTGTTTTATTTCTGTAAACACACGAGAAGCCACTGACCTAGGGGAAGTACTAGCACTCCTGAAAGTGACAGCGGAGTAGACGACCCTCTCGTCTTCTTCCTTGTGTTTTTTGGCCTGGGCTGGTCTGATGTTGGCGTAGACCGCATCGGCCTTGTGTTTGACAAAGCGGAGAGCAGTATAGGCGACCTCGCCATCTGCAGATTGCAGCTGTAGACATAAGAAATGTACAATTCATAAAAGATTAAAATCAGTGCTTTAACTTTGACTACAAAGAAGAGTAGAGAGAACTTTTTTTTTTTTGTCTTTAGTTTACATTGTCAACTTTGTAGTAGTTGTACACTGTATTTTCACGTACTCGTGTTTTTTTTGGGATTTTTTGAAAGTTATATAATTGATTGGTTTGTATGTTGACACTACATGCATAATGTAATGTTTTCTATCGCCCATTTGCTGGGAGTAAGGGCGCCCTCCGTTTGCAAGGTGAGCTTGCTGCTTGCGGCACAGGGAAAGGAGGGCGGGGCGGCGGGGGATTCTCTGACTGGCTGGAGCAGCATCTAATAACTCGCAAAATAAAACAGAATAAAAAGAAACCAACAAACACAAAAACACCAGACATCATGATACAGACTTATAATCTGCACCGATGTTCTTTTTCGAAATTCTATATGTGAAAAGTGAGCGCGAGAGCCCTCGGTGCACCTCCAAGAGATGCTCTTGGAGGTAAAAGAAAGCTTATGCTGATGAATAACAGATTTTAGGGTGGATCTCAGAGTAGTATACAGCTACTGCACGGTTGCTTATTGTTTTAAAGTCGAGTTGGAACCTACAGAGTGCTGCAGTCACTTTAATGCTAGAATGTGTTTTTGTTTCTTTTGTACCAACATAGTTCACCTCCTCTCTCCTCTCACCTGTTCAATAGTGTCCGGTCTCTCTCCAGGCTCAGGCTGTTGTTGCTTGGGGGATCTCTTTTTTCTGGTCAGGATAATTCATTTTTAATGGTTAGTTCAAAGTGCTAAGTGCACTGATATTACAAACTCAACTACACAATAAATGACACTTAGCATCTGCTCACATGATCCATAGGATGACAGAGACGAGTAGGAGAGCCAGGAGAATAGCAGAGACTCCTGATATGACTGTTGGTTTCCACGCTCCTAACAAAGAAAAGTGGTCAAATCATTTAGAGTTAAGGGTGTGACCCCAATTTTAGACATCACCACTGTAAGTCAATGGATTTATAAAACTTAATCTCACTTAATTACTTAAACTTAAGCAAACCAAAAATCCCCAGTCTGATTAAAAATAGAAAGCTGCATGAGACAACTACATGTGTCGCTTATGACTCACATACACAAACAGAGAACAGTATAATTTCCCCCAAACAGAAATAATTTAACAAGAGCAGTGCCCTTTGAATGGAAGGCACACCCAGGTCCAGATGGTTAGTTATAACTTTCAGTGTTTAATCAACATTTCTGGTTTCACTTACTTGATACAACAGTCAGCTGTAAGGTGGAGTAATGATGTCCTCTGTTGTTCTGGGCCACACAGGAATAACTCCCACTGTGTTCAGGTGTGATGTCAGTGATGGTGAAGTTCTGTCCTGATGCTTTTGGTGAGTCTTCATCCTCCTTGTACCAGGTGTAATTAGCTGCTGGGTTAGCATCACTGCTACAGGTCAGAGTCACTGAACTGCCCTCCACGATCTCACCAGACGGACGCACTGACACAGAGGGAAGCTTTGGAGCATCTGGAGGAGAAAACATTTGTAACTGTGTATTTGAACTTTTATATAGCACAGTTTAACAGCATAGTCTGAGCTACTAAATGATACATCCTTTACATCATCCAGTGCAGCTGCTCATTGATCTGTAGCAGCTGACTGTTAATGTTAACAAACGCTGAGTAATCAGCTTAAAGAAACAACCAGTTTTACTCACATTTCACATCAACGGAAAGTTTCTTAGGTGTTGATGCTCCCAGCCCGTTCTCAGCTGTACAGTAATACTCTCCAGAGTCGACGGACTGGACGGAGTTGAAGGAGAGCTGTGAATCTGTACTGAGAGGTGTTCGATTGTTCGCCTTGTACCAGGTGTAACCAGCTGCTGGGTTAGCATCACTGCTACAGGTCAGAGTCACTGAAATGTGCTCCTTGATTTCACCAGACGGACTCAGTGACACAGAGGGAGGCTTTGGAGCATCTGGAGGAGAAAACAAAGGGAAATAAATACATGGTATTATTTCCTTCAAAGGCTGAAAACTTGACCAAATCAAAAACCTCAATGTTTGAATTTTTGACCACATCAAACAAGTCTGTAAGTGTCGAGTTCCGGAGTTCAACATCCTCAGACACAATATAAGCTGATCAAATGACAGTTTATTATTGTTAACTCCACAACTGTCTGTTCTTTCAGTAAAATGAGCATGTTTGCTGTTATTAACATTCACACCAGCAGAATATGAAGGTGTGACACTCTGTCCAGTCTCAAAAGGTTCATTTCATTGAGAATTTTTCTGGAACTTTGTGTTTTTCTGCCAATGCTTGGATGTTGTTATTCACATCTAAGTCATTGTCACTATCATCTATTTTCTCACACTCGTCAATACACCCTGAACAGCTTTTAAACCTCTCGCAGTGCTAGATTATCTATCCATACATTTTTAACCACTTTTCAAGCTTGGCAGAAAACGTTCTTACAGTATCATCAGTTTAAAATGTAAAGTTTCTCAGTAATGAAGAGAAGTTGAGCAATATGCATGTTTTTAAAACCTCATGCAGCCTTGAATTTCCTTTAAGAGTTATTATTATTAAATCACCAGCAGAATCACTGCCGTGCTCTCCTCTGTCTGACCTGTGATAAATGTCACTGCAGACTGTAATCATGAAATAGACAGAGGAGAAGAAAGATGATATTATACATATTTTCACTTACTATAGCCTATACATAGTTTCACTCACATTTCACATCAATAGTGATGGATTTAAGTTTTGACCCCAGCTTGTTCACAGCTCTACAGCAATACTGTCCAGAGTCAGAGGACTGGATGGAGCTGAAGATGAGCTGTGGGTTTTTGCTGAGTTGTTGGCTGTTCTTCTTGTACCAGACAAACGTAGCTGCTGGGTTAGCATCACTGCTACAGGTCAGAGTCACTGCAGTGCCCTCTGTGATTTCACCAGAGGGACTCACTGACACAGAGGGAGGCTTTGGAGCATCTGCAGGAAACACAAGGAGACAAAAGCATGTTATTAGTTCCTTCAAAGGTTGAATTATTGATCAAATCAAACAACTCAATGAATCTAATGCTACAGGAGCTTCTCAGGTGAGGAGATTTGGATGGTGTAGCAGAGATGTGTTCTCAGCCACATCATGACTTCATCAGCCAATCGATTTAATGTTTACACTATATTTACATAACCCTATTACCTAAAGTGTCAGTGGGGACACTGATTTGATAATCTCATAATCTTATGTTATGTTTCAAAATAGAGCATAGAGAAAAGATCAAATGTCTGAGGAAAAAGTATCATTTTAAGAAAAGAATAATGGTAAAAAAAATTAGCTTGGTTGGGTACAAAAAATCTTATCTGTAAATTGTGGAACAACTTCAGAAAAATGTTCCTCAATTTAAATTGTGAAGACTTTCAATACATGATCATCTGCAGTACATGATATCATCAAAAGATTCTGGAAATCTTGAGATGGGGCCCAAAATCTATATTGGATAGCATCGGAAACAAGCAAGTGATCGAGTAAAACGGTAAACTTGTTCACCTACATTTGACATCAATGGAGGTATATTCAGATTTCTTCCTCCCCACTTTGTTCTGAGCTGTACAGTAATACTCTCCAGAGTCAGAGGGCTGGATGGAGCTGAAGGAGAGCTGCTGTTCACTACTGAGAGGCTTTTGTCCATTCTTCTTGTACCAGGAGTATTGAGCTGCTGGATTAGCATCACTGCTACAGATCAGAGTCACTGATCCGCCCTCCCTGAATTCATTAGAAGGGCTCACCATCACTGACACAAACTTTGGAGCATCTGGAAAAGAAAATATATTTATACAATCATTTAGTATTTTGGGAAAATGATAAAATATTGACATAATGTAACATCGGAAAGTCTAGTATTTCAATCTCAAATTAATCTTCATGTTAAAAAATATTTAAAAGGACAGAAAAAAAACATCTCACTATGAAAGACAGAAGTTATTGATGGGTGAAATATATGAAATTATTCCCACTCACATTTCACATTAATAGAAACATATTCAGATGTCCTACTTCCCACTGTATTAGCAGCTATACAGTAATACTGTCCAGAGTCAGAGGGCTGGATGGAGCTGAAGAAGAGCTGCCGTTCTTTACTGAGAGGTGTTCTTCCATTTATCTTGTACCAGACAAACGTAGCTGCTGGGTTAGCTTCACTGCTACAGGTCAGAGTGACTGAAGTGCCCTCTTTGATTTCACCAGACGGACGCACTGACACAGAGGGAGGCTTTGGAGCATCTGGAGGAGATATCAAGGTTTATTAAAATTAACAAGATAACCAAATATCAGTGTGTGTGTGTGTGTTTACCGATGTGAGTTGTAGGGATATGTAGTACTGTGTGAAGACTCCTTCAAATTTAAATTCTACTCTCCAGCCAAAAATCCATATCATTTTAACAGTCTCTCTCTATATTTCCGTTTCTATAAAAGAAAACATATTTTTTTATGACTTGTGGTGCATACCTGAGTGCAGCACCATTTTAGAATATGGAGTCTTTTTTTTTTTTTAAAGAATGAATCTATTGCAGTTAAATTCTATTTTTTCTGTTATTCACACCCAGTGATATAGTTATAGTTGTTGTTCCTGTGTTATGTGTAGATCACTGATGACAGATTTCAAAACAAGTAGTAAGTAGTAAGTAGAAATAATGGTTTCTTTTTTGTGTTCTTGGTGAATGTTTTGTTGTCTGTCAGGAAAAGTTAGAACAACACAGACATTTGTTGATAAGATCCCTCCTACAGATTAAACAGTGCCAGATTATTAGGCACAGTGTGAGTGAATGAGAAATATAGAAGAAACAAAAGAACTAAGGACATTTGAAAGGTAGTGAATGCATTTAAGAAAACCTATTACTGAAACAGATTCACTCACATTTCACATCAATAAAGATGGATTCAGATGTCCTCTTCCCCAGATCATTCTCAGCAGTACAGTAATACTGTCCAGAGTCAGAGGGCTGGATGGAGCTGAAGGAGAGCCACCACTCCTTACTCAGAGGTGTTTGACCATCCTCCTTGTACCAGGTGTAACTAGCTGCTGGGTTAGCATCACTGCTACAGGTCAGAGTCACTGAACTGCCCTCCACTATCTCAGCAGAGGGACTCACTGACACAGAGGGAAGCTTTGGAACATCTGGAGGAGATGAAAATCTTTAAATTGTGATTTTTTTCCCCCCTAATATTGAAGATTTTATTTCACATGTTACTTGACATTTCATAGTGACACTGTGGAGTAAACTCACACACTGCAGCAGAGCGGTAACCCTCATGTCCTTTAACAGCACAGGAATAGCTGCTGTCATCACCTCCAACAGAGACTCGCAGAGATGTTTCTTCCTCTATTTTCTGTCCATTTTTGTACCAAACATATGATGGAGGATCAATTACATCACAGCTGCTGTGACACTGCAGCTCTGTGTGGGCTGATGATTTTCTTCTCTTCACCTGCAGGTCTGAATATGGAAGGAAAGAACAAATCGTCTTCATTTTAACTAAACCATCAAAGTGAATGAACACAGAAAAACAAACCTTCAGAGCAGGTTGAATGTAAGCAACGTGGCTAAAAGCAAGTGACTGAAAGACAAAGACAATATTTATTTTCAATGAAAATCTTACCTGTGACAGTCAAAGTGACTCCAGGTGAGCCAGTATAACTTCCACCATACTGGTTTGTCATGAATCTGAACTTGTACTCAGCTGAGTCACTCTCTCTCAGGTCTGTGATCCTCAGAGTGCAGTCCTTCTCATGAAACTGGTACTCAACCCGCCCTGTGTAGTCTGGGTCTGTTCTCAAATCCACTGGCCCATAATACTCATTTCTAATAAACCAAAATCTTTCCCGAAACATAATTCCACGGTTCCTATTGTTTGGGTAACTGTAGCTGCAGCCTATGTCCACTGTTGATCCTTTTAATGCGCAGATGTGAGTGGAAGTGTAAGTCACTGACCAACCAGTCTGACCCAGTACCGCTGTAACACAGAGCACATCAGACACTACAGACACAATCACAGTGACATTAATAATGGAAACACTTGTATAAGGTTTCTTTATTCTAAGAAAACATGGAAACCAAAAAAGATGTGTTACTATGAAAATAGAGCTCTCTCTTTTTCATCACACTGTCACACTTTATGTTCATGAGTTGGGATTTCTTCATGTATTAAGCTATAGTGAACAAAGAGACTGCAAGCCTGCAGGAGGAGATAAATAGGACTTTGTAACCTAAACGCTGTTCTTGTGAGTCCCAGATGTTCATCTTTTACTTCTCTTCTCTCTAATGAGTCTGATGATGAGTTTTAAATAAAACAGAAGTGCTTCATGCTCCTGTTGCTGTATTCGTAGGTCTCTAACGGCTCATTTGCAAGTAGCTAAATACAGAATGGAAAGTTATGAAAATTAATTTATGAGGTTTGGTTCCCTTTTTTAGTACAGACACTCATCACTGAATCCTTCAGATAAACTACTATCAGACCCACAGAAAGTTATATCAAACAGTCCTATGTCTACATGTCTACATATCTATGTATTTATAAAGCTAATGAGAGATGCTGAATATGTGAAAATCTTTATCTGTGGAGACTAGTTCATTGGCACAATAATATCCCTCTTTAATGAACACAATAATTTTAAACATCATATTTGTAAACTTTTAAAGTAAATGTAACTCGCTTAGCCTTTGTTGTAAAATTTAGGTATTCAGTACCTGACACAGTCAGAAGCAGTCCAACAAATCCACTCACTGCTGCTGCAGTTACACTCCTGGCTGTTCCTCTCATCTTTCTCTGCTACTTCAAAGAAAATTACATCAGTAAAAAATTGAGTTATTGCATTTTACTGTAAAAAAATCGATCAAATAACTACATTAAAACATGAACCTCGACTTACCATAGAGAAAGGTGCTGTCTTTTAACGGTAATGTTTTTCAGTGATCAGTTCAGTAAGTAGAAGACAGAAGTCAAGCTGTTAAACTAATCACACTTCCTTCCTCTTCCCATTAATAATCAGTATGATGCCAGTAAACCCGGGACGCTCTGGTTTCTGTGCACATGTAGCCCCTTAATATTTTCTATTAAGTCTTAAAGGGCTATTTTACTGCGTTCTAATTCCAAACCTCAGCTCAACACAACCAAAGACATTTATAGAGAGAAGAAGAACTAGTTTTACAACTTTTATTTATGTAACACGAGATCTCAACAAATTCAGTTTTACCTTCTTGGACCCGGGGCCTGTTCTTCGTACC